CCCACTTTATGTAGAAACCTTATGGTTTCTGACATGACCTAATTTGTTTTGTCTCATGTCAAGGTCTTTCTATGGCCTTGTATTTAAAGAAAAGGCCAAAAGACATACACATGCAAGAAAGTTTGGTCCAGTGACATCATATAAACAGAGCTATATTGACCAAAGTTCTCAAGAATTCTAATAACTTGCTGTCATGCATAGTTTAGATCATTAGGGTCATATTTGGAATGACAGGAGGTCGAGGAAATGTGGCCATGTGGGTGTAGTTTTAATGAAGCTAATATCTTCATAGGATAAAATATTCAAAAGAAACAAGCATAATAATCTTAATGGGTGTGATTATCAAATATTTTTGTTGGATGCAATTGATATCATTGCAATTGAGCTCATCTTTAACCAGTAGAAAATGAACAAAAAACACTCACTAAATCCATGAACCAGAACTACCAATTTCCAGCAAATATCTCTTGGGTGTTTGTAAATTAAGAAGAGCATATGAGTTAGGTATGTGTCAAATATAGAGACAACATAAAGACAACCAAAAATCAATTGCCAAATCGAGCTCATAATACAGCAATATGAATGTATTAGCATCCTTAAGGGAAAAAAGGTTTATAGCATTAAACACATCACACCCCAAATAAACCCTCATTTGAAAGGGAAGCATGGATGGCCAAAACAAGAAATTGAACTCATTGAATAAACTATACAAAATGAGGATCCTTACAGCAACACGAATTGGATTATTTTAGGGAACGCAAAAGACAAAGAGGTGAATGTGATGCAAATTTGAGGAGCCGACAGGGGTTTTACAGTGCGATTAAGAATTAAGAAGGTGAAGCTGAGAATAAAGAGAGAAAGATACCTCACTGAAGTGATGATGAGCAAGCTGAGTGCAAATGGCACTTGCTTAGTTAAGTTTAGTTTTTGGCCTTGTTAAAAAAAAAAAGAAAAAGAAAACAAAGAAAAGATGGAGAAGAGACGGAGAGAATACAGTAGTGGAATATGTACCTTAGTCTTGGGTAGCAGTGGTGCGAGGAATGAAAGAGTTTTCAGAGGGAAATCTCCAAATGAGCAGCAAGACAAAACGCATAGGGAAGGAAGACTTGATTTCTCTTTTTGGTTCCAAATGAACAAGAGCAGCTCAGCATCGAAGGCAGGGAGGAAGAGTATTTAACATGAAAATCAAATAAAAAAAATCAGTAAACATCTAATCATAAGTTTAATCATACTAAATACACTGTACAACTAAAAGTAGATTTTTTTGTTTGCTTTCTCCAACATAAAGCAGAAGACTTTTTTTTTTTTTTTACCTTCTCCAACACAGAGCAGAGGCACGCAGTTGGAAGGGAGTAAGAGTCAAATAAAAAAAAAATCCAATCGGCAGCACAAGGCGGGAAGGAAGGAGTGTGGCATTTAATGAACAAGTCAAATAAAAAAAAAAGTAAATATTTCATCAAAAAAAACATACCGTCGCAGCAGAATTGTTCTTTTTTCCCCCCCAGTCTGCAGAGCCCACGCACAAACGCAGCAGGAAGCAAGGGAATGGGACTCAAATCACCCCAAAAAAAAAAAGTATAATAAAAAATAAATAAATATAATAAAACAAAAGGTAATTTTCTTTAGCGAAATAGAAAAAATTTATGAGGGAAAGCAAAACCAAAAACCTAAGTGTGTTTCTCAAGAAAAACAGAGTAATTTATTTGGTAAGAACTTTGTTTTCAAAATGGCATTTAATCAAAGTCAAATTACAAAATTAATGTTTTTTTATTTTCAAATTAAAAAAATTAATGTGTTGTCATCAAATAAGTAAATTAAGCATCCAAGCATAACAGCTAACACTTCTAAGACATTTTTTAAAAAAATTTTAATGAAAAAAGTTCTTAAAGAAAGTAGAAAAGAAGACAAGCATTCACAACTATACTTAATTGTCTATCAAACTCATATTAACAATTTCGTCCTCCAATTCCGCAAACATCTTACACATTATAATTGCCACATCCCTTTCCTTCTTTGTAGTTTGAAGCTCAGTTTTAAGAGCTTCACAATACAGAAGCATATTTGACGTGTCCATCGATAAAGAACATGATCCACTAGATTTGTCCCCATTCTAGTAACAAGAAACAAAATAATGCGAAGGAAATTGAGATTTTAAAAGAGGGACAAACATCTGTTCAAAAAAAAAAAGAAAAGAGGGACAAACATAAAGCAATGACACATTAAATAAATGTTCTGAACTATCAAAATAAGTCACCTTAAATAGTTTAAGGCGGCTTCTCTTAGCTTCTTTGACCCACAGAAAATAATAGCAGCATTGAAATTCACCATACATAGGGTAGGGAGACCAAAAATGAGTAATATAGGTAACTTAAAAAATGAAAAGATAAACAACTACAACAATAAACAAAGCCACTTACTTTACACCAATAAAAATGTTGACCTATAGTATCTTTGCACTTTGAAATGCCAGGTTCTAATGAAGAATGACAATGAGGACAACTAACAGCATTCTGAAGCCGTCAGAAAAAGATGAAGGGGTAAAAAATCAAAAAGAGAAATCAAACATATTCTCAACTTTTCTTTATTAGACATATCCTCTAAGCAAGCATATTCATTTTACACAACTAAGTAAGCGCCTCAACTTCCTCAACTTCTTTGTTAATAAGATTCCAAAAAATCAAACATAAAAAATTCCAAAAAATAGCAATAGTTCATAAATTGCAAAATTCTTGAAATCAGAAAATAGTAAGGGAGAGTAGGTCCTCCTTGACCACCACACGGACTTGAATGTTTGGATTGTGGATGGGGTAACTTTTCTTGACATCTTGAGAACCCTAACTTGTAATTTTTTGTTCGAATGAGCCACCCCTAGGCTTGCCTATATTGAATCAAATAAATTGAGGCTATGCTTGGAGCTTGGTTCAATCTGTGGCTCTCGTGCTGTCACGTGAGGAAGACATCACGAATCCTCCATCTCCAATAACATGTGGTATGCCACCTTAGCACTTCACATTCACACAAACAGCCAACATCTGGATTTGTTAACAGAGGGCAAAATTATATCATGTTGAAAAATGTTAGGGTGGCGTTGTGTGAAAAAATACTTTAAGATATTAATGCGCTTATATGAAAATTTCAAGGGCAGATTACATATTGACCCTTCTATAATTTTACTTAATTTTATTGATGCCAGATGAGTCCCTAATAATTTCAAAGTAATTTTTCATTTCACAGTGCTCTTCTATCATTTACCTATTTTAGTGAAATTTATTTGTTATTTTTCATTATTATTCTTACTTGATAATATACTTCCTCAATGTAATTTCCTTTGTTTTTTTGGGGAGAATGGCACCTAGAGCCTTTAAATCAAAGAAATTTGCATCTAAGACCAAATATATTATGAATTTATTCTATAAGCTTAAATGCTTTATACGCAAATATATTTTAGGCTGAAAAGACTCATTTGCCTCTGGTTTAAAATGTACAAATTTTCAAGATATATGTATAACTAAATGTTCATATATGATATGATAAGGTCCATACATTTACAATACAATGTTGATTCACATTATCTAGTTTATGTAGTTTAATTGAACAATAATTTATAAATTTTTTAAATATATGAATGATAAAATATTTATATGTAACATGATGAGGTTCAACAATTATCCATATAATATCTTGCGCTTACTTTTTTTCAAATGAGTCTTTTTACTAAAAACACATATTTGCATCATCGCATGTACGGCTTTTGGTCTGCAGAATAAATTCAGATTGAATTATCTTTAGGTACTAATTTCTTTGATCATGACCTTGCCACTTTTTTTTGCCACCATATATTTTCTATGCTTGTGCCTCAAGCTTCCCTAGGTCTTTATATCCAAAAGCCATTTGACAAATGAGATATCTATAAAAGCTTGGAGAACCCTTCTTTCCTCAGAGTCAGCTTCTCTTCTTTGAGAGAAGCCTTCTTTATCTCTTTTTTAAGAAGAGGTAAATTTGAACCGTTTAAATTTAATCTTGATAGTCCAAATTTAAATTTTTTATTTTTTATTTTTAATTTATATTTTTAAAATAAAAAATATATAAAATTGTTTAAAAAATTTAATAAATATATTTATGAATTTGATAGTCCAAATTTAATAATAAATATACTTATAAATCTGATAGTCCAAATTTAATATAGATGCTCTAAATTTAATATAAAAAATTTAAATTAACTTTTCAGACATATTCTAGATAGTTTAAATATATTCTGAAAAGAACAGTAAATTTATTAAAAATTTTAATACTAAATTTAGAGCATTTATATTAAATCTAAACTGTTAAATTGATAAGTATATTTATTAATTTTTTTTACAATTTTTATATATTTTTATTTTAAAAATATAAATTAAAAATAAAAAATAAAAAAACTAAATCTGGATCGTCCAGATTAAACCTTTGTCTCGTAGAGGAGGCTTTTTTCAAAGGAGAGAAGCCGATTCCAAAATAAAAATCACACCTTCTTGAGGAGCCGTGAGGAATAAAGAGAACCCAGCTTCTCTCCTTTAAGAGAAGTCTCCTTTGCCTCTCCTTAAAGGTAGGGGCTTAATCTGGACCGTCCATATTTAATTTGGATGGTCCAAATTTAATATTTTTATTTTTTATTTTTTATTTTTTTTAAAATAAAAAATATATAAAAATTATAAAAAGATTTAATAAATATACTTATGTTTAATATAAATGTTTTAAATTTAGTATTAAATTTTTTTAATAAATTTACTATTCTTTTCAGAATATATTTAAACTGTTTAAAATACATTAAAAAAGTCAATTTAAATTTTTTACATTAAATTATAACATTTATATTAAATCTAAGCTATCTAATTCATAAATATATTTATTAAATTTTTTTTAAATTTTAATATATTTTTTATTTTAAAAATATAAATTAAAAATAAAAAAATAAAAATATTAAAACTGGAGCATCGAGTTTTACCTCCGTCGTAAAAAGGAGAGGCACTCCTTTTATTTTGCGCCTTCTTGGGTTAAGCATTTGAACTCGGCGATCCAACGCCGTTGGATCGACCGGCGGAAGTTGAATGCACGATGCAGCGGCTGCGGAGTTCAGGGACCTCAATTCTGGGTTCATTTTCAGCACCGAATGTTAAGAGAAAAGCTCAAAACTCATGGGCTGCTGTGCAGGACACTTATTTCTCAACCAAGGTACTCCCCTTCCCTTCCCTTTTACGTTCTGGGTTTAGGTTATTGTTGTTCAATTTGATGGCAATAATTTGTGGTCGATTATTTTCTTATTCGATTTTGATTAACGTTTGCGACGGTTTATGTGCTCTGAATTGTTTCTCATTTTTTCTCTCTCTGTTTTCGACTTACTAGGATACATTTGAGAGACATCGTGTGGTGTTTACAGTTGGTACTTCCGTAGCATCAGTCGCCACAGCTTGGATCGGTTTGTTATCTTTATGTTTGTCATTTCTTTGAAACTATAAGCAGACGGCAAGTCAAAATTCCCCAAAATTTCAATGACACTTCAACATGCTTCTCAGATCATGATAATTTGCATTCGGAAGTTTAAAAACAGGTTAATTAATAATAGCTATATTTTATAGTGAAAATCATGAAATCCTGAATGAAATTACTGTGAATAGTATGTTATGGAATATGATTCCGGTGAGGAAAGTTGAAACAAAGCAACAAACCTGATTTCAGTTGCGATTCTGGTTTCTGACACTTTAAATCCAGGAGTAAGTGATGATTCTTAGTTTTGTGGTATTGTCATCCGAAGGATTCTTGGGCATTGGAAGTAATACATTTCTATGCGTCTGTCTTGTCAAAGAGGGAAGACAACTGAAAAAAGAAAGAAATGACAAGGAAAGGAAGGCTAAGAATTATAGAAGTTTAGTTGAGTTGTTTTATAGAACTCATTCCATAATTTGATGAATAATTTATTAATTTTTGTTTTAATTTGAACTCTGAACAACTGATTAGATCATGCATGTATGTTATTACTCAGGGTATACTTTACGTCATTTGCGTGACAGCAAGGTTGATCAAAGGCTTGAATCGATTGAAAGAATTGTGAGTATTTTGTAGATTAAATATTACTTACAGTTTTTTTTAACATACCCTCTATGGTGCAACATTTGCTTCCATATGGAGTTGGGTATGCTATTTCTCTGTGGAGCACATAATGCATTATGTATATCTCAAATTTCTCTTCAACATTTGCTTTTATATATTTGTTTGCCTGCTGGTTGTACTTCTCCCTTTTCTCTGGATTTTTTCCCTGGATTAAAAAGAAGAAGAAAGAAACATTAAGTTTTAAGTGTTAGAAACTTCGTGTTCTGCTAGTTTGTTAGTTCTAAAGAGCTTCTATGGTTAATTCTGACTAATTAATTGATTGAAAATATTCTAGTGGCAAACTCATGTAGAAGGTATAGAATGTTTGGAATCTGCTAGGTGCTACAATGAAAAGGGTGAAGTTATTTTCCTAAGCATATTATAAAGATGGTCATTCAAGCAATAGTCTTAATCTCCTCCAGCGTTAAAGAACAACAAAATTAAGATAAAGCCATTCGTTTTGGATTACTGAACTTGAATAAGTCATTCTAACATTAAACTGCTATTTGTGCATCTGGTGTTTTCTTGAACGGTGAATAAGTCACCGTGAGGTGAGAATCCCTTTTGGTCTCCCATCTCAGTGTTTTAGGTGGCTAAACTTCACTGTTAGCTTTCATCTAAATATTCTGATTCCTTTTCTTGCAGATGAAAAACAATTATGATCTTGAACATAAAGAAATCCAAAGGATTGTTGGTTCAGGAGGCCTCAGTGTTCCTGCTTGTGTTGCTACTGCAGGAACTACCTTATTTATTGGGTATGTTTGTTTCTTATAGTCAACTATACTCTGGTAAGAACACAGAAATTTTGAGAAAGGATAATTCTCTTGCTTCTCAAAGTCCAGGCCGCAAGATTTCCCAATCTACCTTCTTCAAAGCCCTAACCTCCTGTCTTTCTTAGTTCCATTTTTCGTTTATAACTTCTTCCAATGATTCCCATCCATGCATAATAATTTGATACATAATAATTAGATGGAAAGGGAGAGTAGAGAAGGAAAGAGAGAAAATAGAGGGAACAAAGGGAGAGAGAGAAGAGAGAGGTAGAGGAAGAGAGAAATAAGGAGACTCAATTCTATTAGTTTCCAAAACTAACAGTCCTTTTGGTGCTGCCCTTTTATGGCTTGTTAGGATCCAAGATTAGTAGGAAGAAATAAGGAAGATAAATCTTTATTAAAATATGAAATCAGAATCAGACTTTATAAATTAATAAAGAGAAGGCAAATCTTTAATAGAAGATGAGCAAGAATCTTTAACTAATACAACTAATAATGGAGAATCTCCATTAATATAAATAAATAATGATTTTATTTCCAAATGCTTTCTACATGATATATACCTCTATTTATGGACAGAAAAATAACTAATAATTCCTAAAAAGATTCCCATTAATCTATGACTCAGATAATGGGGCATAACTGCCTCAAATAAATAAATACTACAACAACAAGCCTTATCTCATTAGGTAGAGTTTGTTACATGGATTGTATGACGTCATTGTGCTCTATCATCAGCTAAGTTTTTAGGAGTACTATTAACTAAGAAGTCTTGTTCAACAACTTTTATAATTATTTTCTTTGGTTTTCTTCTACCTCTCTTTACAGGGCTCAAGATCATTTGGTTCACTCTACAAGTACCCGCTACTCCTAAATTTAAGTGTCACGCAATAACAAAAAGTAACCTAAACAATATTATTAAATAGAAAATATCTAAAATAATTTAAAATAATATTTATTCCTAATATGCTTTTAACTTCCCAAATTATCCATTATCCTACCATAATTGGTATTGTATCATAGCCCATAACCCCTAACTATCTTAACTACCTATTAAACCCTTCAACTAAGTACTAACCCTTCTTTATATATGAATTTAATAACATAATTATTGACGAGTGACAACACTGACAGGGACTACCCAACCTGGCCAAAAAAAAAAAAAAATTAGAATGGATTAAAATAACATTGAAATCAAGCAATTTGATTCAGTTTTCTCTTTGAGAATGAATCAAGCCAACAAACTTGTACGTACTTTTGTAATTTTATTAATATTTTATTTTGTTATTTTATTTATTAGACATTAAGTTGTAGATTAAATATGTAAATTTTCATGAGTTCTTTATAAAAGCCTTTTCATATGAAATTTGTGAAAGGAAGCCTTAGTGATAATTTGATGGAACTAAATTATGAAAATAAATTAAGATCAAACCTAACTGATTGCCAAAGGTTTGGTTGGCTCAATCAAGGCATATGAAAAACTGAATATACCTGCTGTATTGAGAAACCAATTTGTTTGGATCAGTCGAAAACCAGTTGTGCTGAACTGATTTAGTTACCTTTCATACACTCAAATGTTAGGTATGGAATGAAAGAGGAAATGAAAATGTCAATGAAATAAACGAAAAATGACCATTGTCCCCAGCTTAACAAAAGTAATAAAAGAATCCAAAACTGTTATATAATGTTAACTAAGACTGATTAGATATTGTACAAAAAAGTTTCTTGTAATTTGTCTCCCTTGCTCTTTCCACATTGGAATGCATGCCAATTGTGGCCTAGTTTCCTAGGAGGCGATGAACTTGTAATTTTGATTGGGACCTCTGAACCCTCATAATCCTTGGGACTTTTCTCCTCCTTGATTATATGTATAAAATGGCCTAGTTTTGATATTATTTTTCCTCTTTGTTGTGTTGTTGATGTAACACACAGAGAGAGCTATGGATGCAAAGAGTGGAGAGTTTTGCAGAGTTTTGGAAACAGACGGGAAAAAGAAGGGGGACAAAGTAGAAATTTGAGGGGGGCAGAAAACAGTGTGTCAGGGGGAGAAGAGTTAGCTAGCTGAGCAAATAAGTATTTCATTCATCAAAATAATTCTCCATGTAAAAGGCCACTGAGGAAAACTGAGTTTTTCTCTTATTGATTCATCATGAACTGTAGAAGATACAAGGATAAATAGTGGGAGGCTGTCGAGAATCAAGCCACCAAATCCTCTAGATTATGGTACTGAATAAAACAGAATAATAACAGCAGATTCTAATCCCTTAAAAATAGAAAAGACTTCTAACCTAGATAATTAGGGTTAACAAACTAGAAACAATAATGGGCCTGTAGTATTGGGCTCGGACCCTCTCTTCAACACTCCCCCTCAAGCTGGTGAATACATATCAATCATTCCTAGCTTGTAAGTTAGTTCTTCGAATCCAACTCTTCCAAGAGGTTTTGTAAGAACATTTGCCACTTGAGCCTTGGAATTGATATATCTCATGTCAATGATGCCTCCTTCAATTTTTTTCTCTTATGAAGTGTCTGTCTATTTTCACATGTTTTGTTCTGTCATGATGAACTGGGTTGCTCACCATTTGCATTGCTGATTTATGATCACACCATAATTTGGCTGGTAGTTGATAGCCAACTTTCAATTCGTTAAGTACTCTTATTGGCCACATTCCTTCACATACTCCATTAGCCAGTGCTCTTGCTTCAGCTTCTGCACTACTTTGAGAAACACAAGTTTGTTTCTTGCTGCTCCAAGTAACTAAGTTGCCCCATAAGAAGGTAAAATTTCCTCCAGTAGATCTTCTATTTTTTGGATCCCTTCCATATTTAGCATCAGTATAAATTCCAATTCCTCTAGAGCTGTTTTTCTTGGAGAATATTCCTTTTCCAAGATTCATTTTAAATCTCAAGATTCAATAAACTGCTTCCATATGATCTTCTTGAGGACTACTTGAGAATTGGCTTATTACTCCAACTGCATAGCTTATATCTGGTCGCGTGTGACTAAGATATATTAACTTGTCCACAAGTCTTTGATATCTTTCTTTGTTAACTGGTACACCATCCTTCTTGATTTCTAATTTCAAGCCTTTTACCATGGGAGTATCTTCTAGTCTTGCACCAAGCATCCCGGTTTCTTTCAATAAGTCAAGTGTATATTTTCTTTGTGTTATGAGAATGCCTTTCTTAGATCTTGCTACTTCTAATTTGAGAAAGTATCTCATGTTTCCCAGATCTTTCACCTCAAATTCATCTGCTAGTGACTTCTTTATTTGTTGAATATCTTCACAATTGTTTCCTGTCAAAATAATGTCATCTACATATACAATTAACACAGTTACTTTTGTTCCAGCATGTTTTTACAAACAGTGTATGATTAGCATGACCTTGAACAAACCCCAATTTTATCAAAAAATGAGTGAACCTGTTGAACCAGGCCTGAGGAGATTGTTTAAGCCCATAGAGAGACTTGTGGAGATGACATACAACATTTGTTGATCCAAATCCTTTCACCCCATGAGGAACATCCGTATATACCTCTTCCTCTAAATCTCCATTAAGGAATGCATTCTTTATATCTAGTTGATATAAAGACCAATCTAGATTTGTAGCAATAGAGAGTAATACCTTGATAGTATTGAATTTAGCAACTAGGGTGAACGTCTCCTCGTAGTCTATCCTATAAGTTTGAGTGAAGCCTCTAGCCACCAATCTTGCCTTGTACTTATTTATACTGCCATCGGGGTTGTATTTCTTTGTAAAGATCCACCTACATCCAACTGCGGTTTTTCCATCAGGAAGTTTGGTTAATTTCCAAGCCTGGTTCTTTTCAAGAGCTCTAAGCTCGTCATTTATAGCTTCTCTCCACTTGGAATCCAATAGTGCTTCCTCATATTAGGCTGGGATTTTTTCTTCAGAAATACTTGTAATAAAGCTCTTATAATCAGATGAAAGATTGTTATAAAAAGCAAAATTACTTATGGGATGCTTTGTGCAAGCACGTACCCCTTTTCGAATAGCTATAAGCTAACCCAAGTCATCAGGAAGAGGATTAGGTTTAGCTTCATGGCTTTGCCTTGGAATTTCAAGAGTCTCTTCTCTGTCTTCTTGCTGTCGTTGATGTGAACTGCTCAGCTCCCCCTTGATATGTTGACTTTCATCATCTGTACCTTCTGAATCATCCTCATTTGGATTGTTATTAGAACTTGCAACATTTGGGGTGTTTTGTGAATGAGTTTCTAAGTGGTTTTCTGGTTTTTGGTTGTTGTAGGATCTTGTAGGTGTGCTGTCACAGGTTTAGGTTCAGGTATAGGTGGGGAAACAACCAACCCCAGTGACATGAGTGTATTTCCAAAAAATTCTGATCTGTATCATCATCTAAAATACTCAGTTCTCCAGAATTCTCCACCTGAATTGAATTGTTAGGGTAAAAAGAAATATTTTCAGCAAAAGTAACATCCACAGACACACATTTTTTGCAAAGAAGGAGAGTAACACTTATACCCTTTTTGAGTTGGTGAGTAGCCAAGAAAAATGCATTTGAAAGATCTAGGGTCAAGTTTACTGTCATGGTAATTGTGGACATAGGCTACACACCCAAACACTTTTTGAGGTATGGAGGAAACAAGTTGATGGTCAGGATAAAATTGTGAAAGTACTTGTAGTGGGTTTTGGAAATTTAACATTTTTTATGGCAGTCTATTTGTGAGGTAGGCAGTTGTTAGGACAGCTTCTGCCCAAGATAATTTAGGTACATTATGGGTTAACAAAAAGGCCCTAGCTACCTCAAGAAGTTGCCTATTCTTCCTTTCGGCAATCCCATTCTGTTGAGGAGTATTGACACAACTTGTCTGATGAATAATCCCATTGTTATTTAAGTATTGGGTAAAAGTCGAACTGAGGTACTCTCTTCCATTATCACTTCTAAGAATTTTTATGGATGTTTGGAATTGATTTTATATCATTTGATGGTAAGTTTTAAAATTTTCAAAAAGATCAGATTTGTTTTTCATAAGAAACACCCATGTCGACCTAGTGTGGTCATCAATAAATTTTATGAACCAATTGGTTTTAGATAGCGTTGGAATTTTAGATGGTCCCCATATATCACTATGAATTAGGTTGAAAGGACGAGAGGATTTATATGGTAACGGAGGAGAAGAATTTATAGTATGTTTGGCCAAGTGACGTCACAATGAAGAGAAACATCTCCTTTATTCAGGTTGGGAAACATCTTAAACATATAATTGAAATTAGGATGACCTAATCTGTAATGCAATAACATCCACTCATTATTAGAAATACTAGCAGTAAGCACCTTCTTGGTTCTAGATTTATAGTTGTAGTCCAAATAATAGAGACCCTCAAATTCCTCAGCATTGCAAATTGTCCTCCCCAAGTCCAATTCCTGAAAAATACAGTAGGTAGCAAACATATTAATGCTACATTTTCTTGCTTTTGTGAACTTAATCACAGATAACAAGTTACATCTTAGGCTTGGGGCATACAATACATCAACTAAAACAATCTCATCAATGATATGTACAGCCCCAATGCCAATAACTCTAGTATAGTTACCATCAGCCACCTTTATATTTATTCCACTATATGGTATTATTTCACTGAACAAAGCCAAATTATCTGTCATATGGTTAGTGGCACCTGAATCCACAATCCATGAGTTCTTCTTTATACTCATAACCTTAAGGGCTTGGACAGATTTACCTGTTTGGGCAAGATTACCCATAGTTATCGTGCATTCTGGCATGGAATTGTTATGACTCTATTTTTTCAGCAACTTCCTCAAGCTCTCAACTTCAGTTGCACTTAAATTTCCAGCACTAGAGTCGTGAGCTTTTTCATTGTTCACTACATACCCTCGAGGTTTTGTTCTTGGCTTAGGTCTATGATTGTCGGGTGGCTTTCCATGTATCTTCCAGCAGCTCTCTCGAGTATGTCCACTCCTTTTACAGTGATCACACCATCCTCTTCCCTGATTTGTTCCTCTATTATCATATGTAACTCCTTTCACAGCGAGAGCCGATGACTCAGGGTTTATTGTGATACTTTGAGTTAAAAATTTTCTGCTTTCCTCAAACTTGACACAGTTAAAAGCTTCACGAAGAGAGGGAAGAGGTCTGGTTTCCATTATCTGGCCTTAGACATCTTCAAACTTTGCATGTAATCCCAATAGAAATTCATATGTTCTTTCTTTGTCCACCAGTTTTTTATAAAGATTTTGATCAGTTCGACAAGCCCATTCTTGAGTATCATATAAATCAATCTGCTGCCATATTTTCTGCTGCATTGAGTAGCAGGCCACAACCTTTAAATCACCTTGCTTTAGGTCTTTAATCATCCCTTTTAGTTGAAATAGGGCTGCTGTTTTCTCAATGGCAGAATAGGTATTTTTGGCTGAGTCCTAGATTTCCTTCACTATTTTTGCCAGAAGATATTCCTCACTAATGCTGAGATTCATGGAGCTAACGAGCCAAGACATGACCATGGAATTTTCTATGTACCATGTATCATGCTTGGGATCGTCTGTTGCAGGTTGTGTTGCTTCACCAGTGAGGTACTTCTCTTTCCCTTTTCCTCTCATGAACAAACGGATGCTTTGTGATTAGTGTAGATAATTATTGCCGTTCAGTTTGTGACCCATGATCGCAGAAAGGAGACCGTCGCTACCTAGGGCAGAATCTACCTTTTGATGTGCGCCGCTTCTGTTTGAATCATCATGGGCTCTATCACTATTCTCTGAGCCTCCATGGAAGGCACTGAAAGTGCCAAAACTCATTGTGTTTCATTCCATTTAAGCCAAAGCTCTGATACAACAACAATAACAGCAGCAACAATAACAACAATAACAACAAGCTTTTATCTCACTAGGTGGGGTTGGCTACATGGATTGCAAGATGCTATTGTGCTCTATCATTTACAAGCTTTTAAGAATATTATTAATTAAGAGATCGTGTTCAACAATTTTCAAGAGTGTTCTCTTAGACCTTCCTTTACTCCTCTTAACAAGGCTCAAAGTTATATGTTCCACTCTTCTCACTGGTGCCTCCCGCGGTCTTCTTTGTATATGCCCAAACCATCTCAAATGATTTTCTATCATTTTTCTTCAATAGGTGCTACCCTCACTTTTTCACGTTCGTGCTCATTTCGAATGTTATCTTTACGTGTATGTCCGGACATCTATCGTAACATTCTCATCTCTGTTACTCCAACTTTATGCTCTTGTTGTCTCGTTAGTGCCCAGCATTCACTACCATATAACATAGCCAGTCTAATAGCAGTACGATAAAACTTTACTTTAAGTTTATTAGGCACCTTATTGCTGCAAATAACTCCTTTAGCTTTTCTCCAATTAAACCACCCAGCTTGAATCCTATGTGAAATATCCCTGCTGATTTTGCCATCATTTTCAATAATGGCTTTTAAATATCTAAATTTTTTTACTTGAGGTATAATTTGATCTCCCAATTTCACTTCCAAATTACTGTCGACTAGTCTCTTACCAAATTTACAATATTAATATTCTGTCTTACTTCTACTTAGAGGGAAGCCTTTTGACTCCAATGTCCTTCTCCATAACTCAAGTTTACAATTAATCTCTTTTTTTGTCTCTACTATAAGAACTATATTATCTATGAAGAGCATACATTTGAGAATTTCCCCTTGAATACGTTCCATCAAAACATTTAAAATTAAGTTAAACAGATAAGGACTCAAAGATGATTCCCAATGTAGTCCAATCTTTATAGAAAAGTCATTTGTTTGACCACTAAACGTTCTTGTACTAGTTATTACCCCCTCATATATATCTTGTATGACTTTAATATAAGCAATTCGTACTCCCTTCTTTTCCAAGGCTTTCCAAAGCACTTCTCTTGGTATACGGTCATAAGCCTTTTCCAAATCAATAAAAACTATGTGTAAATCTTTATCTTTACAACGATACTTTTCTATTACTATGAGAAAACTGAGTTTTTCTCTTATTGATTCATCATAAACTGTAGGAGATACAAGGATAAATAGAGGGAGGCTGTCGAGAATCAAGCCACCAAATCCTCTAGATTATGATGCTGAAGAAAACAGAATAATAACAGCAGATTCTAATCCCTTAAAAATAGGAAAGATGTCTAACTTAGGTAATTAGGGTTAACAAACTAGAAACAATAATGGTCTTGTAGTGTTGGGCCTGGACCCTCTCTTCAACAGCCACCTTAGGCTATTTATAGAAGGGGTTTTCATAACCAAGAAGTAAAACCACTTGCAAAAGTAAACCTTCTTGCAAGCTATAACAGAAAGTACATAAAATAAAATGAAAAGTAAGATAAGTTTCCTTCTATAGTAGGTTTCCTCAAAATATGTCAACTCTTTTATTCTGTCATTTCTCCCTCGATGGAACTCTCCTCTGAGGGTAAAAGTGTTGATATAGCTGGAATGAAGCACAATACAGGGAATTTCCAAGTAGCATCTAATCTGGAAATTCTTTCCAGCAGACAAGTTCTGTTCTTCCATAACCACAATAGCTTCTGCAACAAGTGGTGTAGCAGGACTGTATGACTCAGTTTTTGTCCACCAATTTGAAGTCTTGATTCAGTTCAAGACTCATGCCCTCATACTTGATAGAAATTTCTTCAGGCTCAATCTCATTCTCTTCCTTTATAACATCTATGCCAGCTTCATTTACTAACTTCACCTCTTTCATAGGTACACTTCCACTTCCAATTTCAGGATCATAACTGCTGTTACTATCCCTTTTTGGTACACCTAATATAGGTGAAGGCTTTTTGATGAGAGTACTATTTTTTGGTGCATCAAAAACATGATGATCCTCTCTAGGTCTTGAAAAAGTTATCTAATATCACTTGGTTTGCTCAAACAATTGATAGCCTTCAAGATTTCATCAAACTTGTGATCTATGGTTTGTTTCAATTCCTCAATTCTATGGTCTGTATGCTTCCTTAGAATCCTTCCATATTCCTCGAGGTTATTTTGCTTGATTTGGCTATTGTTGGCCATAACATTGTCAGGGGTGACAATTTCTGGGTCAATGCAGCTTTAGGAGCCAAAAGATTGGATTTTATCCTAAATGATGCTCCTATTTGATGATTTTTGCCTCTAAAATGGGTTAGCACAGGAGGAACCTTGTAAAACAACATGAAAACCATGAAAAATGATTTTTGGATGAATGTATGGATGACTTGTGGAGCTCGTGAAGCCTATGGGCGGGGAGCTCTGCCAACGTGTGTGATGAAGGACTCTGTGGGCTTCCTTGGTCTAGTTGGATTCTTCCTTCTAAGCATATGGCGATGGTGGTTCTGTAGTTTGATAATGGGAAACGTGTGTTCTATCTCTCAATGATGTACGGTTTTCCAGCAAGTGTTCTTTGCTTTTGTGGCAACAACAAAGGCCATGGAGCGTAGAAACCAAACTTTGATACCAGATTGATGCAACACACATTCACACGCACAACTATGGATGCAAAGAGTGGAGAGTTTCAGAAACACAGAGAGGAAAAGGGAGGGGGACAGAGCAGAAATTTGATGGAGAAGTATATTAATTCTTATATGTTATTAGTTATGGATGCTGGGCAATCCAAATAGCTAATCCTACTAGTAAGTACTTTGAACTGACGGAATATAATAGGGAAAATTAATTCTACAAATAAAACACAGCAAGAATCGCACTCTACAATCTCTTAATAGCAAAACACTTACAGTGTTTGGTTGGAGGGGAGGGGGGATGTTTGCATGGAAAAAATGGAGGGGAGGGGCTCCCATCCCTTTGTTTGGCAAAAACACGACAATGGGGTGATGTTTGCTAGTTATATGAAACCATGCATTAACACAACATTGATGCCTTTGACCACAGTCAAATGAGGGAAATGAATTAGATTTTTATCTCATCTTGTCATCTCTTCCCTTGCTAAAGTGAAAGGAAAATTCATCTAGTCAAGCTCAACCTCCTCGTGCTCACCTCCTTCCATTTGTAGCCGCCTTGACCAAGCCAGTTAGGGAGTCCATTAATTGAATAATCCTCCCTTGCATTTACTGCCATTCCATTGTCCTAAATTCATTGCATTTCATTTGGAAGAGTTGCACCTTATGTTGCCTTTTATTAGAACATGAATTTGAATTACATTTCTCCTTCACCTCACTTATTTGCCAACCTCTCTTCATTCTCCTTTCTAAATATGTATCAGCCAAAAAACAAGTGAAGAAACCGCAGCGACCTCCTCTCTTGTCCAGCCATGGCACCACTCAATACCTCCTCCTAAAACCTCCAATGAACTAGCTCTAATCCACCACTACCTTCCAGGATTCAGACTTGAAGTTAAGGCTATGAAGAAAGCTAGGCCACCATGTGAAACCCCTTGAAGCGTTGAAGAAATTTTGTAGCTAAGCAATGATAATTTCCTGATTGAGGTAGGATAAGATAAAGTGGATATGATGTACTATTCCTCTTCTAATTCTGCTGGAGAATGAAGAAAATTGCTTTTCTGGCAGTCAATAAAATCTCCTGAAACCTCAATAACTTATTCCATTCTTGCTCCAATAGTAAACCGGTTGTTTTCCAAGCCATGTGTGAACGTAATTTGAATTTGAACTAGAATACTAGGTCATTTCCTGTTTTTGATTAATCGTGACCTTCAAACGAGGATCTTGCAAAATTGGATGTAGGAACTTTTTGTATTATGACATGACCTGATTAGTTGTCCTGCTGCACAGATTTTTGTCCGTGGCCTTGTATTTAAAAAAGATGACCAGCACTAATTTCATTCCCTGATTGGGATTTAACTTTCTTATTTTGTTAGCGTTTCGCCATGGCTGACATGTACAGGTATGGCTTGGGATGGCGAAGTGGTAGCTGGTATGCAAATAGGAAGTTTAGAAAAGAGCAGATGAAGATGCTAGGACTGATTAAGCCTAAAAAATGGCAACTACTTGGGAAGATACAACCCAGAGCGTGGCAATTCATTAGAAGACCTTTGAAGAGATCCAAAGTACAAGAAACTGCAGTGGAGACCCCGAATAAATCATCTGTTTGGCCAAATGAGTCACATCAGTCTTGCTAGGGTTGCGGCTGAAGTTGCTGTATAGGCTTTGAATAGTGGCGGTATAGTTCCAAAAGGTTTTATAGTTAACACTAATAGTCATTTTTAGCATTATATGAAAATTCAGGTCAACCCGTTCGATTGAACTAGCAAGTCATTAAACCAGTGTCTTAACCGGTTTAATAAAATATTTTGTTCATGACTAGTTTGATTGTTGTTTGACTACAATTTAATCATTAACTCTTGAAGTAGTATTTTAACTGGTTCAATTGACCATTCAGTTTTCAATACCTTGATTTTTAGGATTGATTGCTGAGTCCTCATATCATCATCATCTCTCTGGTGGTACACCATCATCTTCTTTCTGCATGTGATGAATATTTTATATATTCTGACAAGTCATGTCAAGTTTTTGTTCTGATTATAAGTTTGCAATGATAGAAATGCAAGCAATGTCTTCAACTAAGAACTTGGGCAAATCTGTACCTTCAAATTTAACATTGGCCTTGTAATAGACCTTGAGAAAAGAAAGTTTCATGCAAATCTGTACCTTCAAATTTAACATTGGCCTTGTAATAGACCTTGAGAAAAGAAAGTTTCATTACGTACTTTGTTGCTCGTAAGTGACGTGGTTTCTTTGGAGATTTCAATGTCTTAAAAGTACAATATTTTTTACTAATATCAAGGATCAGTAAATTTGGGTGGATCATATTTAACTTTTTTAAGTTCAAATTTCATATTTTTGTCAATAAAATATATTAAAATTTTAGTCATCAAATGACATTTAGTTTGGACCATTTAATTTGGACACTGCATACCTCATGGCCATTCTGATTTTCTATCACTAAGAAGCATACATTGTTTTTTTTTTTTTTTTAATTTTTGGGTGAACAGCAGGTACATTGTTTTTTAATCATTATTATTTATTAGTTAACTTGTATGTCTTTGTTTTTATTGTATTGCTGAAGACGCTAGTTTGCGTGGCGCAGATAGAGATGTTGGTGTTAATGGTGACAATACAGTGAAAAATCTAAAAATTAATTCTTCTCTGGTGTTTTTACTTTTTTTTTTTTTTGCAGACACTAAAAAGTTAAATATTAAAGAGTGTGTGTGTATCTTTATATATATATATATATATATATATTTGTGGATCAAGGAGGTTCGGTTAGCCTGCCTAGTGAATCGGATTTTGATTTTCAGCCTACCAAGTCAAGGTGAATTAAAAGAGTCAATATATTCAACCCACAACCCATGATAGGTTGACTTGTTTAATTCAACTCTAGTTGAGTCGTATTTGAGCATTGTTGATCTCAATTGCAGATAGCTCACTCAAAGATTTTTTTTTTTTGGTATTAATATAAACTTGAATTTGAGATCTCATATTTAAATAGTCATAATTCATTTCACTAGGACCAATGCTTGTTGGTTTACCTAATCTATGTTTTACTTCTTTAAATACACATACAATAAGTAATTCACACTTTGGATATGCATGATTGAAAGGGATCAAGTCCTTGTTGGGATTTTAAGAAGAAAAACTAGAATACATATTTCATAAAATAACAAGACTCTTTATTACTTATGAATCATGGCAATATTGAGTCTCAATTGTGTGTTCTTGAAATGGAAACAATATTTCTAAAATAAGCACACTATCATATTTTACTCTTAATGGAATTTACTTAAACAATAAAAAATATAGATATTAATTAAAGAAAACACATCTGATAAATATAAATTTAAAAAATAAATAAAATTAAAAGAAATGCTAAGTGTAAATAACTCCCATTCAAACTACGATTTCCTTAACTTTTGATTAGGAATATAGTTTTGGTGGACAATAAAGTTTAAACTAAAACTACAATAACTTGCTAATGGCTGGTGCATACTGTTCAAAGGATATTTACCAAAAAATACTACTAAAAAATTGATACTTAATAAGACATGAAGAAAAATAATCCATGATAAAAAAAAAATATATGTAGTCTCTTCATTAAAAAATGTAAGGCATTTTATAAAGGGTTAAATATTCAAAAATATAAGGCATTTTTAGTCTTTCAAGGTGTAATTATTGTCATGTTTTTAAAAGTGTTCCTATTGAGTAAATTACTTTATATTTATTTTAAAGTAAAATATCCTATTAAATAAGAAAAAATATAGAAAGATATGGTTACTTTAAAGATAAGTAATTACTTTATTGAGAGTAAAATTTAGTTAAAAATATTTTACATTTTTTAACAGAGGAAGTATATAATCAGCATCTCATGGTATAAAAAATATATAATAAATGAAATTTTTTTTAGTAATATGTAGAGCCGGTAATTCGGGCTGACCCAAACCTGCCCGAAAAAAGTTAGGGCCGGGCTTAAAAAAAATATAATTTTTTTTAATGTTTGGGCTTATTCGGGCTAGCTCAAGAAAATTCAGACCAAGCCTGATCAGGTTCAGGCTTGGGCCCGAATACTCGAATAAAAATATTTTATTTTTATAAAATATATTAAATATGATAAATATTAATTAATTAATTAAGTTTTAGGTTATTTTATACTAAAATACTATATATTTGAGTCCTATACATCATTTAAGTATCAAAAAATATATTTTATATTTTTTATAAAATAAAATAATTAATTTTAAAGTGAAAAAATTAACTAAAAATGATTTTAAAAATATAAATTCGGGTATTCGGGCCGGCCGAAGCTTGAAGGAATTCAGGTCGGGCTTGGCTATTCGGGCTTCTCATGGAGTCAAGCCTGTTGGGCTCAGCCCGCTCGAATTTCTAACTCTAATAATATGTACTATTTATAAGCACAGGTGTATACATTCTTCTAAATGATAGCCCAGAATTCTAGGGTTATCAATCCCACCGGCTCAAACTAATTCGAACTGAGTGGGATTGTTATTACTATGGATAACCTCATGGGTACTTCTATTCACTATTTGTATAAATTCTATCAAATCACTTGTACCTCTTTTTTAAAATCAATGAAAATCTCAAGAGCTCTGGATGGTATAAATTTAAACTTTTCTATTGATTTAAATATTAAATTGCATGAGAAATAAGCCACCTAGTTTAATACCTTTTGAAGTTTGAACATATTGACAAGATTTCTTTGGCTTGGTTGCGTATGAAGCAAGAATGAACAATTTCTGCTCTGAGTGATCTATGTCTTATTTGGAACCATATTTTTGTTTCTTCTTGTTTTCAAACCAAAAATGCAGTTCCTAGAAGAGATCCTCGAACTTCATGTTAATCTAGGAATCATTGCAACAAAATTAGCTGAAAATTTTTAATGCAATATGTTGACGAAACGTGTTTTAAAAGCCCATGTAACTAGACAACGTTTTCTAGAAGTTAGCTCAATTCATTAGTAATATAGTAGTTCAATTCTAAGAAGAGAAAAGGAGTTAAAAAAAAATAAATATTAATCTCAAGTATTAAATGTAGGATGATTTTTCAAAAAAGTGATATTAAATAGTATAACTATATAAAGAGATCATTTGATCAAATCAATTGAATATTAGATTTTTTTTCCCTCTTTTTTGAACTCTAGAAATTTTTCTTTCATAAAAGTTAGAAATAGTGTAACTTTTAATCCCTCAATTTTCCCTTAGTTATTAATTTAGTCCTTCAAGTTTAATTTTTATTAATTTAATCTTTTATATTTTATTAAATTATCACGCCTTAAATTTTAAAATACAAATTTACTCAAATTAATCTAATACATTAAGTATTTTAATGACTTAACATACACATGTAGCTAAATGAGAAAAAATTAGTCCTTACATTAGTTTAATTTTTATTAATATAATCTCTTACGTTATATTTTGTTCTTTTATTTATTAAAATTTTTTAGTCTTTTTTTCTCTATCTAAATAGTTGCACTTATCTTTGCCAATATGCATGACTGCCATCAATATTCTGTTATCTATATTAGCATATTTTAATAGTATTATCTCTTATTCAAACAATAAGGATCAAAATAACTGAAACAAATTTAAAAAATTAAATTGATAAAAATTAAACTTGAGGGATCAAATTAATAATTGAAGCAAACTTGAGGAAATAAAAGTTTAAGTTTAAGATAACTATCAGAAAAGTTAATGTACTTATCTCGTCATTATGCTTTGTGCATAGTTCCATTATTAATAAACAAAAAATTTAAATTCTAATACATAAAATACATTTATATCCCTTATATACTATTTCAATTATAGATATGTTCCTTTATTTTTAAAACCTATAAGAACCCTTTTCTAGAATTAAGACTTACAAAGCATTCTTCAATTTTAAAATTTTTATTTTTATCAACCTATTCGTTAGTTAATCATTAAATTATTTATATTTGACAAAAATATCTCTATTTAAATATATATATGTTTTCTAAAATTCATTCAAGTTTCCAATATATATATATGTATGTTACTTTTTATATTCATATTTTAAATTTTTTAAGTTATGTAAACTTATTTATTTAGTATTTTTTTAAAAATTAAATATATAAGTTAGCTAAAATAATATTTCAAACACACAGGTAAAAAAAATAATGAAATGGAAATTCAATATAATAAGAAAAATTTAGTCATAATTAATTTTAACAAAATATTTGTAAAATATTTGTTTAAATATCTCGATACTTCATCATTTAAAGTTATTTAAAAAATTGGGAAGAGTGAGTAAACAATTAGAATATAAAGATAAATTAATAATTTTAAAATTTTCAACATATATAATTATAAAAATATAATTTTTTTAGAATTTTAATTGAACATTCCTAATAAAAATGTTTAAAATTAGAATAAAATATAAGTTTTGGAAGAGAAATGACTTTATTTTACTCAATTTATTTAAAAGTTGAAATTTGTTAGTAGACATAGTTTTCTAAAGATAATAATTAATAAAATAATATTTATATAATTAAAAGCTACCACATATTTTCTAAATTTTGTCAAACATACACACATTAATACTATTCATAGTGTGTATAATGAGTTTTTTTCTATAAAAAAAAATAGTGTAGATGCGTCATATTATTAGTTTAACTTACAAGCTTGTATATTAATTACAGCTACAAGGATACAATAATAAAAATCTTTTTTCTTCTTTTTTTTATCTGTTTCTTGAGTACATGTGTATATAAAATGAAGTATGGACTTGAAGCTAACCTAGGAAAAGCATCATGGCGAAGATTTCATTAATCTTTGTCGTCATTCTATTTTCTGGTTTATGTCTCGCAAAAGATTCAAATGGTGAAGATATTGCTCCTTATTGGTGGAGAAACAAGGATATACTTGTGAAGAACACTTGGTGAGATATACAGCTTTAAATTTAAGTTCATTATTCTGTATTATAGAAATATACAACGTAACTACAAATTATTATATATTGACATTAATTTAAGTAATTTTTGTTCGTTAATTACTTGGGTTAATTAGGTGACCACACAAGATGGCTATGTTCTTAGCATGCAGAGAATTCCTGTGGGGCTATCAAACTCGTCGTCGCCGGAAAATAGGCCGCCGGTTCTCCTGCAACATGGGCTCTTCGTGGTAAGTTTCATGACGGCGAAAAAACATGTATCAAGGGGCTCTCTTTCACCGTTAAATCAAAGCTTTTTAACGGTTTTGATTTAAATTTTAATAGAATTATTATTATTATTATTTTACATACACACATATACATATATAATAGTTCAAATTTATTTACATATTTTTTTGTAAAATAAGGGTCTTTTACAGGTATAATGCATGTTATAGGAGTAAATTAATCAAACAATGTAACATTTATTATATTTTGTATTATGACCAGTTTATTAAATTTATCAATTATATATCGTTGTATGTTAATGATAAACTTTTTATAAATTTTTAATGATAAATCATTTATATATCAATGATAAACTCTTTGAATATGAATAGGAATGAACCACACTCCCAACTTTCAAAAATTTGATCGATATTTTTGGGACACCAGATTTATTTCAGCTAATAGGCCAATTTAATTATTTGTAAAATAATAATAATAATTTTATTACATATTAAATAAAAATTGTTGAAAGCTTTGATCATAAAATTTGTTTGGTATATGAAAAATTTAGTTTTTTTTTGTTGTTGTGACGTTCAAAAAATTTATCGTCATAAAATATTTGGATATGGTTAAAGTGCATGCTTGTCGCAAAAGCATTTTCGAAATAGTTAGGGCCATTATTTAAAAAAAAAACTATGAAGCAATATAGCACATAATTTTTACAATTTTACCATTTTTTAACAGTTAATGTTTAGGTTAATGTGGGTTAAAATGAGTCTCCTAACACGCATTAATTAGGATTGATTGTCAAAAAAAGGGGTAATATTGTACTAGTTTTATAAAATATTATCTATTGTAATATATACATCTATTAAATAAGTTTCTATGATACCAAAAGAAAATTGGTTAAATATAATTATTCTGGTGTGATTGTTTTGGTTTATTTATAATCTTTTTTTTTTGTCGATTCAATTCTCATAATTTAAAAATGAACGAATGAATTTTCAAACTTTCTATTGTTTAATATTTTATCCCGTATATTTTTTCAGTTAATATAACCAATTTATGCTTTTTTTAAAGTATGTGATTAAATGAACATGAGATGATGAAGGATCCAAACAACATGGTCCCTGCCGTTTATCTCAAGTAAAGCCAAGAATTTTCATTAAAAAAAAAAGTAAAGCCAAGAAGAAATATTTATTCTTTTGGTGTCAAAAAAAGGAAAAAAAAAAAAAAACTAAGTTGGATAGGACATGATGATGCCCATGTTGGACAACTTTGGATTCATTCAGTCATATTAATTTTTAAATATTTTATTTCTATAAATTATTATATGAATTTTTTTAAAAAAGACATATATTTAAGAAAATTTTATTTTTAAGAGTCGTTTTTGATTTTATCTAAATTCAAAATCTTTTGTTTTAAAAAAAATCAGAACAGCACCTAGTAAATTAATTGAGAATATTCTAACTGATTTGAAGTGGATAATAATCAAATAATTTAATTTTTTAATGAGATATTTAGATGCGTTAGTATCACTTCATGTGCTCTTCTATTATAATTTCGTATAAAATATTGCGCTCGTTTCTTTAAACATTTTCTTATAAAATAAATCACTTATTTTATTAAATTCTGTTTTATGAAATACTACGATTTTTTAAAATTTTTTAAATTAATCAGAATCTAAAAAATAATTTTTTACATAATAAATCTCTTTTTGTAATCAGAAATCAAAGTCTCTTTTATTTAAAATAATGGGCCCATTTGTTTAAGATTTAATAAAGTGAGAATATCAATAAAGGATTCTTGAAAAAATTTAAAATTTGACAATAATTTTTAACAAGTAAATATCAACAAACTAATAAGTGAAATTATTATTTTAACAAATATTCGATTAATCCAAAATCCTTGTTAGATATTTAATTCTTTTAAAAGTCTTTTATTGATACTGCATGAAAAATAAGTGATTTTTAGATAGTTTGAATATTTTATCAAAAGATATTTATTTTGTAAATATTTTATAAAAATTAAAATTAATTTATATTTGATTATAATAAAAAATAATTATTATTTAATAATTTTAGATTTTATGATATTTTCATGATACTCATGAATCTTTATTCATAAAAAATAATCAATTAATTGAATATTTTAAAATTTTATAACATTTTCATCAATTTTATATTTTTATGATATATTTTTTATCTCCCACATTATATCCATTTATTTCTTAAAGTTACTTAATAATTTCTAAAAATAATTAGAAATATATTTTTTAGAAAAAAAATTATAAACAATCATTTAGAATATAATCGTTTTTGAAAGTTTAAACAAATATCATAAAATTTTTTAAAATAATTTTTTTAAAATATCAGATGATTTTTAGTAAAAATTCTTAAAAAAAAAAACGAGCCCAATGTTTGGTTTTTATAATGTCTTTAAAAAATAAACGTCTTTTTATAAAATTTTTAAAATATCTAAAAATAATTTATTTTTAATCTTATGAAATATGTCAATTAATATGGCTAAACTTAATTGAAAAGCCAACCAGTTGATTAAAAAGAAATTATATTATAATATAATGCATTTATGATTATTAACAAAAAATTTACATTAATTAATCTGGCAAAAACTTCATTTTTAATTAATGTTAATTTTGAATGATAAAACTTTTTTCTTGTAAAATTTAATTACCATAATAAATTAAGACGAATAAAATGTGTGTTTTGAATTCATAATGATTTACTTAAACGAGTAAATTTTTGATCCAATGTATATTGCGTAACTCAATGTAAACCTGATTACCTGATTTGTTTAGCATGATTTGAGAAATAAAAAAGAATATTATTCATATGTTATGAATAATGTATTAATAAAATAAAATACAAATATAAGTTATTTCTTCAGGAAAAATAATATCAGTGATATGATTTTATATGAATTTACTCAATAATATTTATTTGTGTAGTTTTTTCTCAATATACTATATACAATTACATCTTTCCTTGTTCATTGTATAAAATGGACTTTAAATTCTTATCTGATAGGAACAATACAATTCATTTTTGAGTTTTGTGCAGTACACATGTTAACCTAATGTTTATTATATTAAAAATTTAAATTACATTAACAATATATAGGAAAAATCGTACTAGAGGACTTGGAACGCATATTCATCGGAAAAAAAAGGATAAAATAATTCTGAAATTGCTTTATAAAACTAAAGAACCTATATTAATTAAAATTTATGGTAAAAAACAAAACTACCTCACAAATATTTTTATAAAAAAATTTATTGTGGGAATTTTTAGGGGAAAGAAAGATATGAAGGATAGTCTTTTCACCATAAATTTTCATTATATTTAAGTAACTTAATCTTGCAAAGTAATTTCAAATTATTTGGTCTTTCTGTTTTTGATAAATGTGCTTCTCAAGTCCTCTTAGTATGATTTTCCCCAATGTATAAAAGAGATGTTATCAATTTGTTGGAAAATCCTTAATTGTTGAATGATTATTACATTAAAGAGATGTTATCTATTTTATGGAATATTATGGAATTCATTTAAATTTTTTAAATTAATCAGAATATAAAAAACAATTTTTTAGAAAATAAATATCTTTTTATAATCACAAATCGAAGTCTCTAATATTTAAAATAAATAAACTCATTTGTTCAAGATTAAAAAAGTGAGAATATCAATGAAAATTCCCTGAAAGAATTTTGTTTTATTAAGTTTTCAGTCATAGACTATAACATTAGTTTTGATCATCTCTATGTTACTGATATTAATTAAGAAGTAATTAGGGACTAATGAAATGAGTGTACGGTCAGGATGGAGCCACGTGGGCATTACTACCTCCAAATCAATCTTTGGCATTCGTGTTGGCAGACAGTGGGTTTGACGTTTGGATTGCAAATACACGTGGCACAAAATATAGCCTCCAACACTCATCCCTCTCTCCTAAATCTTCCGTAAGTTTTGATCATCTCTCTCTCTCTAGTTATTTCCATTGATATTTTATTAGTAAACCTGGCTTAATATAATCTCTTTTATTTACAAATCTCAGAATTCGATATCTTTGCTAAGGGGTGTTAATTAAAATATAAAATCTACTCCACTTGACCCATCCAAAACCCTTGTTTAGTTGAACTTAAAAATTTAATTACTAATTCAATGGTCAGACTAATCAATTTGAGTTTGATTTTAATATCATGACATTTACTCCTTCCTTCCCACCCTATTTATAAAACATCGAGGCAAAGGTGAAAAATGAGTGGGTCTAGTCTATATAAATCAGCCTTTATTGCTCAACCCCTTAAATCTGGTTTTCTAAAAAAAAATTGATTTTTAAAGTTTGGTTTTTATTTAGAGGGTTTAGGATTGGGCCATAAGCTCATTTTTATTATTTTTTGGAATTTTTAAATTAAAAATTTTAATTATAATATTTTATATTTTAAAATACAAATTATGATGTCAAAAATTTAAAATGAATAATAAAATTTTTAATTTTAAAGTACTAACATATATTTTAAAATATAATTTAATTTAAAAGTTAAAAATTTTTTTTAGAGGTAAAATTAAAAAGTACCTAAATGGGTCGCTTGAGTTTGAACCATTTTTTTAAAGATTATTATGGCTATGCTATAAAGCTTGATTTTCCTAAAAAAGTGTCATTTTTTAGAGTCCAAGCCCTTGTAACAAATGAATTTAAACGGGTAGCCTACTAGATTTAGCTTTTACTTTCAGATCTGGTAAGAGTGGTAGAAATAGATGAAAAAGCCTATCACAATGCTTATGATATATGGTCTAATTGAAGCCTGGCCTGATTTGGATTGACTTGACTTGCTTAATAAAAGAAAGGCTAAACTTAAGCTTATAATAAAATTTATGGAAAAATATAACTTTAGGTCTCTACATTTTGGTTATTTTTTGCTATAAGTCTCTGTACTTTTTTTGAATGTTTTAGGTCTCTATACTTTTATTTTTTAGTATTTTAAGTCCATCAAAGGTCCCTATACTTTGTTTATGGAGGGACCTAAAATATTAAAAAAATAAAGGAATTTATAACAAAATGTGAGTAAAATATTGAGACCCAAAATTATGTTTTTCCTAAAATCTATTCATATACCAATTTAAGCGAAGCTTGATTTGTCCTGACGTAATTCCACCCCTTATACTCATTAGTTCTTAATGCAAAACCGTTTAAATAATTAAGTTTATTAATTATTTTTTTAATTTTAAAAATTTTCCATTTCTGCATACTTTACAATATAGAATTCAGATGAGTTCATTTTAAAGCTTGTATTCTCTATGGCTTACTTTCAACTAGCCATTGTTTTTATTTTGAATGAAAATAAAATATAACAGTACTAATTTAATTTTTTCTATACCGATGTCAAGAAAGTGGATATAGACATGAAATCTAGATTTCTGCGGAGCTTGCAATACAAAATCTATATTCTTTTAAATATTTAAATAATATTTTCTTTCACTATGTATGTATATATATATATGTATATATCCACACGTTTTTCTTCTTTTCTTTTTTGCTTTTCTTTTCATTGTAGGATTATTGGAATTGGTCGTGGGATGAGTTAGCTGAATATGATCTTTCAGCTACAATCAAGTATGTCAATAATCACACAGGACAAAAAATGCACTACGTCGGTCACTCTCAGGTGAATGTTACAAATATAAATATGTGACATTTTTGAAGTCTCATATGTAAGAAAAATTATGTATTTTTATAAATCTTTTAAATTGGAAATATTTATACAAATAGTAATTTTTTAAAAAACCGTATTCTTCAGAGGACATGAATATTATCAAATTTTGTATAATTTACTATACTCAAACTAGTTTTTATTAAAAAAATTATATATTATACATACTTTTCACCAGTTATTTTTCTGAATGATGCTTAGATGGTTCAACCTAATCACCAGTTACTCCTTACCTTTCCCTTATTGGGGCTTATCCATTTGAATTTGATTTATGGGCTTGAGCCCAATTCTTGTAAAAGAAAATGCTTATGCAGTTTTTTGGCATATTGTGTATACATATATATATATATATATATATAAATGTTTTGAGGCGAATCTTTACAAGTTAATTCGCTATATTATTTACTTTTTAATTTAATTTTAATAAATAGACCTCTTGGCTTAAATAACACTAAGCGCCATTCCCCCAACAAATAATACAGAATTTTTCCATAATTCTTTTTTCACAACATTTTTCTCAAACAATTTTTACCAGAAAGAGCGTGGACATTTAACATTGAACGTGTAGGTAAGATCTTTTTGTAGAAATTTCTTAAAAAATGAATTTCCTGAAATTTTTAAGAGAAAAATAATATTCAATATATTGATATCAATTTAAAATATGTTGGCAAAAAAATATCAAAATAACGTGTACAAATTATAAAATATAAAAATCTATGCGTAGTATCCAGCCCTAATTATAGGATGAAGCTTTAAAGCTCTACTTGATTCTAAATATATGATAAAAATATTTTAGTTAAATTTTTTCCCTCAACCTTGCCCCTTAATTGCAAGAAAGTGTTAGAATGTTTTTAATTTCTATACATCACTTCATTATGATAATTAATTTAGTAAAGTCTAAAATAAAAAAGTCACAGTTTTTTACGAGTTTAAGATATTAAATATTATAATTTTAAAAACACGAAATTAACTAATTTTGTCTTATAACTAGAATTGGAAGGAATAGATCATTTTCTAAAATTCGATGCAATACATGAAAACTAATAATACACTTCAATGAATTCTTGTGTAGGGATCTTTGATTGCATTGGCTGCATTTTCAAAGCATGATTTAGCGGACAGTCTGAGATCAGCTTCTTTGCTTAGTCCCATTGCTTATCTTTCTCATATCACCTCTATTGCTAGATTTTTCGCTGAAAGTTCTTTTGCAGAGGTAATTATTCTTTTGTTCAGTAAATTAATAAAATATTCAACATAAAAAAATTAATATATACTCCACTCATAAATCAAATCCGCACCTCCTCTTTCCAGTCTCCCTAACTTCTTTGTCTGGTTAATGGTTCTTTGTTATCAATGAGTTATTGTCTCGAATGTCACCTTCATTGCTTGGATGGAGGGAGACTTAGCATTAAGAAGAACAAGAATTAAAAGTTGGCGGGAAGGGTATTTATGTGATGATAAAATCAGTCCTAGGATTGTTTCCTGTTACTGGCCGGTGTTGATATTAAGTAATCTCATATAGATGAGATTGAGATTGGAATTAGACTGATTAATCACTAATACCAAACATGTAAAAGTTGGGCAATCCTAGTATCAATACTAATCCCAACCTCCCAATGCCTTGTACCAAAAAGTGCTCCAAGATTCTTAAGTAAATTGGTCTAAAAATTTGTTACTTTTATTCCACAATTTACAGTTCTCAAAATAAAAATTTGCATGTGAGATTTATTAATTTGAAAAGAAAAAAAATTTGTCAAATATATCATTACCCCATCCTACCTTTAGCTAGTCTTCAATAGCAATCTATCTTTTATCTTTTGGGTTAAGATAAATTTTTGCCTTTGAATTATTTTTATGGAAGCCCTTGTTGTCCTAAACTCTTTGTTGTCACAATATCGCCCTTAAAATAATTAAATTGAAGCATTGTTGCCTTGACATTAATTGGGCAGACATTGCTATCAACTTTACTGACTTAAAAATAAGTTTGACTCAAATTGTAATAATATTACTTTTAAAGTAATTTTGTTTTTGAAATAATTAAATGATAGTAATGTTACTTCTCATATTAAGTTTGAGTTAGCAAAGCTAACCGTCAACATTTCCCCATTAACCATTTAATGTCAGGGGACAACATTGCTATGACTTAATTACATAAAGAGAAAAATTTCTATGATAAAAGTTTAAGATGCTCTTAAAAAAATAGTTTAGAGACAAAAATATACCTTAACCTTTTTATCTTCCTATTTGTCTTAACATCAAAGTACCACACACTACAAAAAAAATGATTGTCAGTGGTGACTTTTAGCGGCGACTTTTTAGTGTCGTCGCTGATTGTCAGTATTTTTTTAATTTGTTTTAAAAAATTATGTTGCAAGTTTTAGCGGCGACATACAAGTCGTCGCTGAAAGTTGACTTTCAGTGGTGACTTTTTAGTGTCACCGCTGATTGTCAGCATTTTTTAATTTCTTTTAAAAAAATTATGTTGCAAGTTTCAACGACGACATACAAGTCGCCGCTGAAAGTTGACTTTCAGGGACGACTTTAAAAAGTCGCCGCTTATTATCAGCATTTTTTAATTTCTTTTAAAAAAATTATGTTGCAAGTTTCAACGGTGACATACATGTCGCCGCTGAAAGTCGACTTTCAGCGATGACTTTTTAGTGTCGCCGCTAATTGTCAACATTTTTTAATTTCTTTTAAAAAAATTATATTTCAAGTTTCAGCGACGACATACAAGTCGCCACTGAAAGTCGACTTTCAGTGGCAACTTTTTAGTGTTGCCACTGATTGTCAGCATTTTTTAATTTCTTTTTAAAAAAATTATGTTGCAAGTATCAGCGGCAACATACATGTCGTCGCTAAAAGTCAACTTTCAGTGGTGACTTTTTAGTGTCGTCGTTGATTGTTAGTATTTTTTTGTGTTTTCAAAATTAGATTAAAGTATTTTTCATAGGAAAAAAATATATTTTTGTTTTACCAATTTCATGATGTTCTTTTTATTTAAATTTCAATTTATTTTCATTTTCATTTATTTAACCAAGTTGTATGTATGTATGTATGTATGCATAGATACACATACATATCTTGTAATATTACAAGTGGAGAGAGGTTTATATTAAGAGATAGAGAAGAGGCCATTTAACTTAATGCCTGCAAAATCAAAAGTCTTTTGATTTTATAGAAGTTTAGAAAAATCATGGTTAAATTAGCTCTTTTGATTTGCTTCACTTAATTACCTTTTTTTTGTGCTTAAATTATTTTTTGACAAGATTCAACTCTTGTTTTTCTTTTTCTTTTTCTTTTTCTTCTTTTGTCATATTTGTTTTTCACCCATGATTTCTTGTGTCTTTTTCTATTTCAAAAAGAATTTGGATATTCTGCACAAATATCTCTTTCAAATTTTTCTCTTATTTAATTTATTCTATTTTCTATTTTTGAGATTTCTATTTGTTCTACAATTCTTATCTTTATTTCTACCTCTTCTACTTTTCTTTCAGGTTCACTATTCCTATTTGGTTATAGACTAAGACTCTTAAGACTTATCTTATTCTTCTTTTTTGACTTAGATCCTAATATCTTATCGAACCATCTTATATTTCTATTTTTACAAGTTTTATTTTATATTGATATTGTTCTTCCTAGACTTAATAGGAACACCACTGCCTAACTTTTCTATTCTTTTACAGGATTTTTGAATATTATATTTCTTGAATATTCTCTGTTTGTTACTAAACTTACTTGGCAATATCAATTTTTTATAAGTTATATGTGATATTATGTTCATGTATCTTTGTTGATTTATTTCAAAAGGGGTGTTATCTATTTCATTTCTATATTTTCTTTTGCTTTTATTTTACTAGTTATAATGAAGAACAATAAATTCTACTGTTTTAACATATGGACAAATAATTAAAATTATAAAACCTTTAGAAAAGATAATTTTAAAAAATATAAAATAGAAATAGTTTATTATAAATGTGAAAGATTTGTCCATTTTTATAATTTTTTTAAAAAATTATGTTGCAAGTTTCAGTGGCGACACTAAAAAGTCACCGCTGATTGTCATTATTTTTTATTTATTTTAAGAAAATTATGTCGCAAGTTTCAGCGGCGAATTTTTAGTGTCGCCGCTGATTGTTAGCATTTTTTAATTTTTTTTAAAATTATGTTGTAAGTTTCAGCAGGGACACTAAAAAGTCACCGTTGAATTTCAACGGTGACACCAAAAAGTCGCCGCTAAAATTTAGCGATGATTATTTGTTTTAAAAAAATTATGTTGCAAGTTTCAGCGGCGACATACAAGTCGCCGCTAATTGTTAGCATTTTTTTATTTCTTTTTAAAAAAATTATGTTGTAAGTTTCAGTGACAACATACAAGTCGCTGCTAAAAGTAGACTTTTAGTAGTGACTTTTGAGTGTCGCTACTGATTGTCTGTATTTTTATAATTTTTTTACTAATGTATAATCATTAGTATTTTTACTATTTATTCTTAGATATTTTTTATATTATAATTATAAATATGAATATTAAAATAAATAATATAACAACCTCAAGAAGTAAAAAAAATTAAAATAAATAATACAAATTATATTGTATCAATTATATTTATAGTTTACTTTAAACAAAATAAATAATATAATTTATAATTTTATAAATTGAAAGAATTAAATTGAAGTATTTAAGGATAGTAATGATATTTTATAATATTTAATATTTAATATATATGTGTGTTTGTATAGTTTAATAATATATGTGTGTGTATATATATATATATTTAATTATGCAATAATAGACTACAGGTTTATTCCAGCTCAGTGGCAAAATGGTTGGACACAAAAAGAGGAGGTCACGGGTTCAAACCTTGGAGGAGACAACTTTCAAAATGGAAATATAAATTCATGACATGATGACATGATGACATGTGGCGTGTGGTAAGAGCGACACATGGAGAGTGACATTGGGCCACGTGGCTTGAGGTGAGGGGCAACACATGAAGGATGACATTGGTGTCACATGGTGCGAGGTGGGGCCTTATGTGGAGGGTGACATGGTGCCACATGGCGTGTGGTAAGAACGACACATGGAGAGTAACATGGTGCCACGTGGCGTGAGGTGAGGGCGACACGTGGTTCGAGGTGGGGCCTTACGTGGAGGGTGACATGGTGCCACATGGTGTGTGGTAAGAACGACACATGGAGAGTAACATGGTGCCACGTGGTGCGAGGTGGGGCCTTATGTGGAGGGTGACATGGTACCACGTGGCGTGAGGTAGGGCGCCACATGGACGGTGACGTGGTGCCATGTGTGTAAGTGAACCAACATTACTTTTTAGCAACAACTTTTTGGTAGCTTCAGTGGTGACAAAAATAGTCGCCGTTGATGCGTGGTTTTTGCGGTGACAATTGTCGCCGTTGATTCTCAACTTTCAGCGGCGACTTTTATTATCACCGTAGATTGAATTAGCGACAAGAGCTCTCGTGGCGACATTGTGACGACTTTTTATCACATTTGAAAACTTTCAATGGCGACTTTTTAACTTTTGGCGGTGACAAATGTCGCCATAGATTTTCAACTTTCAGCGGCGACTTTTTTGGTCACCGCAGATTGAATCAATAATAGAAGCTCTCGCGGTGACATTGTAGCGACTTTTTGTCGCCGTTGAAAACTTTCAGCGGCGATAAATATCACCGTTTTTTCAGCGGCGATAAATATCACCGTTGAGAGTCAATTTTTTTTTGTAGTGACACCACTTTAAAAATTTCCAGTGCTTGACTGTTGACGTTTATGTGTTATGTTATAACAAGGAATGCTCGAATATGGAATATTTGAATTTGACCTCAGTAATGGGTAAGCAACTCTATTCTCTTATCATATTTTGCAAGTAATTCCATGGCTAGTAACTATATATATATAGAGAGATTAGATGGCTAGCCATTAGTGCCAATTTAATAATAATTAATAATTACATACTAAAAATGTTTTGGGTCAAAAATAAGTTACAAATATTGTTTGAGTTAGTTCTAATAAACATGATATTCTCAGCAGTTGCAAATTATTGGGAGTGACACATAAGACTTAAGTAGTTTATTTGAGGTTGAAATTCTTATGTTTGCAAAAATTCTTACATGGAATCACTACAAAAAAATCACTTTTAGCGGTGACACTAAAAAGTCGCCGCTGATTCTTAACTTTTAGCGGTGACAGTAAAAGTC